ATGAGGAACTACATAAGGTGCATGTTACCTGGAATGTTACCAATGGTTAAGATTGGCGGAGTGATATGATGAAAAGAGTGTTCAGTTGTCCTACTGTTAAAACGGACATTAAAAAAAAAAAAGTGGATTGAGTAACCAAGATGAGGTTGTCCCCGTGCTCTTACTTCACCCACGACCCAAAGGTAGTTAATATAGTAACTATCAAGTTATAGTTAACGCTAAGAGTAACCAGCGTTACACAATTGTTTGCCAAGTATGCTTTGTTAGAAAGGAGACTATTCTCTGTATAAGTTACATAATAATAAAAGTGGTTTTGATATTAAAAACACTTTACACTAATACACGTAGCTGTATTCAGGGTAGACCATTTTGCTTAAATTTGCCATGTTTGTCAGGATGTCCATGTCCTCCATGTTGTCTATAGTGGCCAGATCTGTGTGTCTCTGCAGTAACTCTGGGCTTCAGTCATGTTCTTTGGTTCATAAACAAAATGGTACCGACATCCAACATGTGCTGGGACAGCACACAGCCCTGTAGAGACAGACATGCATATTCCAATATTGCACTTCCAATATGGGAAGTAAGACAGAGATTCTGAGACACACTATATAAAAAAATTTGTACTTAAACCCCCAACAGCTAGATAGCTGTTCAATAGAATTTTTTTTTTTTTTTTTTTTTAAAATTGTATCTTGAATTTGAATAATAATAAACTTTATTGTCCTTCACAGGTACACAGGTACACACACTCAGAGGCACTCAGAGGCGCACACACACGCACTCAGAGGCACACACACACGCACTCAGAGGCGCATGGTTTATGGGACGGGTAGTTATGGGTAAGTAACATCTGCACAAAAAGCTTTTATCAATTAGACTATCTGGCACTGCATGGTCGTACTACCGAATTTATAGAGCAACAAGAAATTCAGCACGTATGGATTCTAGGTACGGAGTGCTTTAAGCATAAAGTGGTACCTACGAAGCTATACTGGAAATAGTTGGCAAATTCTGGAGACAGATGGTGTAATGGTGGTTTGAGTCTTATGTCTGATTGGTCGCTCAAACTATCTGATGCCTTTTGGGGAAACACAAAACCAATGTGGCTGGGAGGACGAACGAAACAAAGAGGAGACTGAATCTTCATGCCCCCAGGTTAAATTGTATTGCAAGACTATGTTTAGACTTATATCATGTTTGTAAGTTTGGGACGGCCCATACGCGGATTATTATTTATCTCAATAATATCTGTTCTGTTCCTTTTTCAGTTTTGAACAGAGTGATTTAAGCTGTTCATAGTTCTTGAATTCTTCCTTGCTTTACCCTGTCTGTGGTTTTTTTGTTGTTTTATCCCCAGAATTTGCCTAGGC